AAAAAAAAAAAAAAAAAAACAGAGCTAGAGAGAAGTAAGAGATTAAGAGGTTTTTTTAAGAATTTTAGAAATAATTACTAAATCATTTAGAAATTATTAAAATTACTTGTTCGGGATCTTACATATACAGCACAAGTATTTCAATTTTTTACAAAAAAATCTAATATTCAAGACAGTTATGCTAATACAGTTAACTGTACTCTTAGCAACATAAAAGAGGAGGAAACTAATTCTTTATCCTTTTTTAATCTGCAATTTAAAACTTCCTCAAAATGAGCTATGTTTCTCCTCGTCCGATCTAAATTCTTCAGTCCTTAAACCAAATTCCCCCCGAAGAAAGATGGAAAATGAGCAGGCCTGTTTAAAGCAGAAATAAGTCTTCAGGCTTATCATAGTCACTTAGAATGGCTAACACATTTAAGCGTGAAAATGCAGCTAAAATATCCCAAAAGTCTTAACTCTGCCCTCTAGTGAAACTATGCATAAACTCATATTTCGAGTGAATGGAATCTCAAAAGAGATTTTAAACTTTTACAGGCATATTTGATGCCTTTTTATTTGTTTCCTTACATAAAGCCACCTGAATTCACAATTTGTTTTATTTTCTAAGCTATGAATTTCCTTTTCTCAACATGTTTTGACGTCGTAACATTAAAATTACTAACTCCAAATATTTGATTAGTGATCCTTACATAAATTAAATTCATAACGTGTACTATATTTCATCCTAAATTAATTATTGGTCCTTTTAAACTCAACTATCTTAATAGGATTGTTCTGTACCTATTTCTATATCTTTAATTCAAAGTGTCATACATAAAGATAACAGTATCACGCACAAATTGCCTAGATAAAGCATTATCTGTTTTTCCCTGTTCTTCCTCTCCCCTGCCCCCAAGCCTGCCTTGGGAAGGTCCATTTTAGCGGAATACTGTGGCTCATCCCCGGCTACAGTGAGCATTTCTTCCTAGCATATCCAGGTTTTCTTTCCTCACTGCTCCATTCTTCAGTATGCATCTACATTCATTCCTTCCTCTTTGCTGTTTCCTCTGTATTACCCACATACACACACACAAGATATATGCCAGTTATGTCCCCATTTTCCCATGCCTCCTAAAGAGTCTGGAATGTGTTTTTTCCTTGGTCATTCAGACTTCCACTTCATTCTACAATTTAAGTTATTGGTAGCACATCTCATACGAGCTACTACATACTTCTGAAATGCACAAGTATTTTTCCTTAAGTTTGTACTATTTTCCCCAAATATGTTTTTGGCACAATGAATTAGGTTCTTCCATCTGACTTTGTTTAAACCATAACAATATTACTGTGACTTTACCACCAGTCAAAACGCACACAAAACAAAGGTGATTTCACTTCTGGGAGATGCACAGTCCAGCTTTGTCTGAACACATGTAACAAAGGAAATATTTCATATCAAAATCATATCCAAACCACTCAAATTCAGAAAGATGATTCTTAAAGAAAATGGCACCTGAAATAACATGAGCTTGGCATGAAAAAGACGAGCAGAATTACGATGATTAGAACTATTTTCTCCTCTCCTTACTCAGCCCAAGTAATTTTTCATCCAAAACTTTTTCTTGGACAGCTTGTTTTGTCAACATAAGGTCACAAAGGAATTTTCTTAGAAAGTCTGATTCTAATAATAAATATCTGAAATGTGCAATTACACAAACAATCTTAAATGCTTTCTATTCCTCCCATTTTAACTGATCTCAGCAGTCAGCTACAGTCAGTACTGGAAACAGTGGCCACATGACCCTGTCATTTCTAATCCCTTACCAAGTTAGTGCTTATTAACTTTATCAGTTACCACAGTTACCAGACCCAAGGGTCAGAGTGCTGTTTTTCCTAAATACCGCAAATGGATCTTTACAGAAATATTACAGAAAAAAAATCCTCAGTTAATACACATAGGGCTTAAACTAGTGGAGTAGTTATTAAGCAGTAGGTCCCCATAGGTCTTCATCACTGTATTAAGAATTACTGGATTACCAATGGAAATATACAACTGGAATAAATTATCTGTTCTTAAAAAACTATGGATTTTCACTTTTCACTGCAATTAGCCTTTTATTTACACAGATACTTAGTTGGATGTTCAATTCCCAAATCTTACATACTTAGAAATCGATCCTGCTCTTCCTGAAGGTAATGGCCAAACTCCTACGGACTTCAAAAAGAGCCAGATGATACAATAAGCATAGCGTGCTAAATGCAGCCTGATTATTTTAAAGATCAGATAATATAAAATGGTTTGTCCAACTTTGCTTTATGTGTTTCATGAAAAGAAAGTGGAAAGAGAATTAATACTGAAAAACCAATGTTCATTTTTTTTCTAAGGGCACTAAAGAAAGAGTCACCAAAACGTTCAACATACAGGATCATAAAGAACAGCTTCAAAAGTGTATGCTGTTACTCATTCCTTCTGTAACAATATGCCAGTTTATCACTCTACCAATTAACTTATCCTCTGCAAAACTTAACATTTATTTTTATACCTCTCAATACCATTAATAAAAGGTATTACTCAGGTAAGTAACGAACAAAATTGACATAAGAACTATGGGACCCCACACTGAACAGATATTCTCTGTTTACAGTTTTTAATCCATTTAATACAGGTAATGTTAGCTTTTTAATAGTGTTTGCAATGCAGCTCAAATATATTACCAAAGTCTGTGTATCAACATAATTAACTTCTTTCATTAACTTACCTTTCATTAAATACCAACCTATGTGAAGACTGCCCAGAAAGAGCTCCTTTTCTTTTAAGCCATGTTCATTAGTGTTTACTATGCTGTAAGGGTACCAACCTTTTACTTCATCAGCTAGCCCTCTTTTTGCAACCCTTAGATCTCTGCAAGTTCACTATAACTTTTGTTTCAGTATTTTTGCTATTATTTCTATTTTGCTTTATTTTCTCTATAAGGATAAATCAGATGTATGTTGTCACAGGGGAAAGACTGCTCAACTCGCATGATTTAAATCAAATCAGGAGAGAAGTAATTTATTCATTTTTTAACAACATGTAATTAACCAGTAATCTGAACTACACATTTAGGATGAAGATCAGCAATACAACAGATAAACCACAATACTAGACACAAAGTGTTAAAAAATACACATTTCTAAACACCCTTCTGTAACTAATTCCTCCAGCTGGACATGCAGGTGCTGCAGCTTTAAGCATACTCATAGCCCAGTTTCCTCTTCAGTACTATCAGTTTCTGGACCAGCGCCCTCTCAACAGTTTGGGGTATTCTATTTGTGCACACTCTACACTCACATTTCTATCAATTCAGCTGTTGCTACTGAGGCCACGTTGCCAAGAGGGGACCGTGCAGATTGCCCCAGAGGTGTACTTTAGAAAATAAGTCAAAATAAACTAGAACGGAAACAGGGTGAACTTTCAATTCAAGCAACTCAAGGCCAAACTGCTGCACGGAAGAAGACCTAGAGGTAAGAGCAAGAAAAGAGAACATTTAGTCAAATATCCTGGCCAAAGCATAATGTAAGTATCGTGTGAAAATGAACAATATAGCAAAAAAAAAAGGACTCAGGAACTTATTTACTAAGGATTTATATTTAGTGTGGAATGTGAGCTGAAGTAATCTAATAACGGGCTATTAGGTTCCCCTATTTTTGGTTGATCAAACCTGGAAACTTAGAGGTGCAAAAAGAAATGGCATAATGAATAAGGGAAACAAGTAGGTTTTCAATACCTATTTCATTGCCTGGACAAGGGGAATGGAGCAACGCAAGTGAACTCTAGAAATATATGTCCTATCTTTAAAAAAAAGAGAAAATAGAAAACAAAACACTATTTTGAAGCTAACCTAGGAACAGCTTTCATTTATTTTCCTCTCTATGCTAAAATTCAAATACAAGTGTATACAAAATTTACTCTGGTTTTGAACCAAGCTTGCTTGCCTTTCACCTAGAATATTATCTTCCACAATAGCATGACCTTCCATGAAACCATTGTTTCTGTAAATAGTATAACTCAAGTGTCTTTCAATAAAGTTCACAGCCATAGCCATGTGCATTTAATGTTACACATAAATCACATTTTATGGAAAGATAACACAGTCACTGTGGAATAAGTTGCTTCTTTTTTTCTAAAATCTTATGATTTACTTGGCAAAAACTAAAATATTTGAAACATAATGATACCTGGAAATGTAATATTTTCCAAAGTACAATTCAGTAAGCATTCTTCTGCAATGGTTTTGAAATAGGTAATCTAGATCTATTAGACTGGGATGTAATTTGGATTGTCACCAGGAACATGAGATTTATTCCTGTCAAGGCCACAGCTGGCAGCTAAAAACTGAATAGAGCAGAGGACTGACCTTGTACTGACGTTTAAAGACAGTGCTACAAATGAACACCAGATCAGTATATACTGGCTATGACAGCTGTTGGAAATCATGATGTTATTCAGCATAGTGCTCTAATCTTTAAAATGACTTTTCTTAGTCTAAACAAACTAATACAGTAAGCAAACTTGTATCATTGCTCTACTGGTTTTCACCATGAACTCTTAGAGCGTTTGCAATTTTATAAATTTTCTTCAAAAATAACTTGAGTATTAAACCAAGACTCCTTTTAAAATATATTACAGTATTTCAGATTAACAGTATGTGTAAAATTGTAACATGAGTAGCATGACATTCATTAAGAGAGCTTTGAATCAGCAACAAATCATATTTATAGGAGATAAGGAACTTAAAATACGTATGCTGATGTAACGGCAAATATTTATGTACAAACTTACCCCAGTTCTTTCAGGGAATTTGAACACATTTGTACACTGAAATGAAAAACATTTACTTCATCACTTTATCTTATTTTAAAATATGGAACCACATACTCCTACATAAAACACAACTGGTATTTTCTGTTTCTACTATTACTACCCAAGTGTATTTGGAAAAATGTAGTTCAAGTAAATAGTAGAACAATATAAAATAATTTAGGCACTGCATTCTGTGTTAAACCAAACAAACAAATTTAGGTTATTCGTGTGTTTTTAAGTGACCAGACACAGTGGGACTAACAACACTTTAAAGAGGAGGGAAAGAAGGTTATTTTCTGCCTACAACTTCAATAGCAATTCTAGTGCTGCACAGAATGTGGTTGATCCATTATAAATTTTAATTATATAGATACGTAGATTCAGGGGTTATAGTCGACTGTGAATTCAATCACAGTCTCGCCTGCTAGTGTAAATAACTACATAAGCTGTTGTCATTGGTAGTCTAACAAGTTCAATCTGAAAAGAAAATTTAAATTTTAGAAATTGTTTTAGGATAAAAAATGGGTAACAATCAGATATGTTGCAAAATTTTTTATATAGAATATTTAATAATTCCACATTCTTTAAATTTTGCTCAGCTAGGATTTTCCCAAATCACTAAGAAATATACTGAGATTGTCTTTAATACTAGGACTGAAGATTCACATTCCTGGTATGAAAGCAGCATCAAATAACCTGGACTACAGCCTTTAATGTGTTTTATAAGTGATTTGGATATGGTGAAGATGTGTGAGAAGAAAAATGAGAACTGTCTTCCCACTTGGCCTGCGTTTACAAAGCTGTATTTGATGATTCCAGTCATAAGAAAATAGAAAGAAAGAAATGAAGAAAATATTAAAACAAAAAAAGACACTGAAATACTGCAAAGAAAGAATCTACTAAAGACATTAAAAGAAATAGCCATTGAGATTCATTTTTGAAAATAAATAATACATGTGGATACAAATATTAAACAAAATAAGAAAAAGAAAACAGGAATACAGTCCTGAAAGACACACTGCTCTTCCCAAATAGCTCTCTTGTTGGAATCGATAGTTCTTATAGATGGTAACATACAACTAGTTAAGACATGATGTTGCACATGGTATGGAAGCAAAAATAAGTGAAAATATTGACTTATTTGAAAGATTAAACATTTACCTTCGAAGAAGATCATCCCTTCCTTTGGTTTGGTATAAAGGGAAGACAAGTAGGGAAGGAATTATTTGTTCGGGATTTGTGAAAGGTGGTTGAATCTAGCTTCTATTCTCATTTTGCCTCTGCAAAATTAAGAGAGCGCGTGTATATACCCGTAACTCCAGCTACATTACCCCCTCCTACTCAGGACGGAGCAGATGAACGAAATTTATATATTACGGCCTAGACAAGCCTTTGCCTGGTACAACAGGTCTTGATCTACTTGTTTTTCCTCTGCTAACTCTCTTCTCCAAGGTATATTCCTTTCTGTAGCTGGACTGACTGTCATGTGCATGATAACACCAGGGTGGCAAAACACAGGATGTGGGACCCCTGAAGGAATGCAGTGGGAGCCATGGCTCGGCCACCCCAAATCAAGGGGCTGCCTCAGAAACTGCTGCCTCTCCCGAGGCAAGGGCAGCCTGAGTGCGCTGAGCTTGGACCCACTGCGCAGCTGAGAGCTGGCAGCTCCCACCTTGCAGCCACCTGCGGCTCCTGCCTTCTGCTGAGCTCATACTCCAATTCCCACTTCTCCTCCTCCCACGTTAAACATGTCTGCATGTCTTCCTACACTATTTTTGCTCAAACTTGGGGAGCAAGGAAATTTCTTTCCATCATCCCTGCATACGACAAGAAATTTTTGGTCTTCTTACCTTTGACTTTTAAATCCCTTTAAATTCTAACATCTTTTTGGAAAGACCTGAGACTATAGAATTCCCTTGGTTCTTAGGAGGAGCTGTATGTGCACTGCTTCTTGCTGTGGATATATTCTGATTTTTTGAACTGTGTCACACTCACACAAGACACTAGCAAAAAAAAAATCCCCCAGTAATGGCTAATAAAGCTCAATTACTCAACCTGTTGCAGAATTAGTCCTGATCAAGAAAATCAATCAAGCATATACTTACATTTCAGCTTTTTGTGATCAGCGACACCCTTCACAAGTTAAGTACATAACTAAGTGCTTTGCTGAATGCTCAGCATCAAGACAGATTCAACCCCCTGAAACGTCTACCACAAGTAACAAATTTCAGTACCTTACTCCGAGGTTTTCCCAGTTTTTATCTGAACTGTCTTCCTGAAAAGGACGTTAACACAATATTGTAGTTGTTCTTCCTTTCATTAAGGACATAAATTGCAGAAGCCTAGCCACACTGAGCATAGTTAGCTAATGTCTCACTCATGCAGACAGTGCTATTAAAAAAAAAAAAAAAATCAAGCTGCTTATGTAGGTAAAATAATCATGGCCGTCAGATAAAAAAATAATTTCCGGTACTGTAACTCTGACATCACATCCTTCACATATTTCATATGCATTTTTCAAATACCTTAAAGTAACTTGTTGACTTTATTCTTCGGTTATAAAGTTCAAGTATATTCCTAGCATTAAAAAGAAAGTATCAGAATCAAAACAACTTTTAGATAAAAACAAGAAAACATCTTCTGTATGCATGTCACATGAAAAAAGGATCTCTCTTTACAATGCTAAAAATCAAATACTAGAAAGGTAAATAAAGTCAGTTCCAATAATTTATTATTTTTTAAAGTTTTTTTTTTTTTAATCTTTTTTGTTAATGAAAAGTTGTACCTAGCAAGTACCATCAACTTCAATGGATGACTTTAATGGGAACAGCATTAGATCACAACACTTGCATATACTGATATCTAAAAACCAGAGAGAGAGATTTAAGTCTCTCTCAATTTTATTTTTCATGGCTGCATAATACAAAATAAACTGGTGTAAGAGATTGGCGGGGGTGAGGAGGGGAAAAAATCAAGAGACTGGCTGACTGGATTTGTTACATTAATTTCTTAATATGTGAAGGAGTGGATTACCCCTCTAACAGCAATAGGAAATTAGTTTCTTTATTTCTTCATTAAGACTGTGGGAGGGAAATTAATTTTCTACTTTGGTTTTCAAATTAATTGAATATATCTTTATTAAAGTGATAAATATATACACTTACTTTTTGGTTGACAGAATTCTCTAAATTAATACTAAATAGACATTTTCAAAGCAGTTTGGTACCATGTGTTTGTTTTTTGTTTCATTTTCTGATGTTACACAAAATCAATTTCTTTCCTATTTTTAAGTCCAGTAAATACTATACTATCTCGAGGAAAAAAAGCATTTGAAAACAGTTTTTCTAGCCTCATTTTTGTAATATTGGTTGAATAGTGTATTGTTTTGGTCTTCACTTCTTCATACTCTGACCATATTAATTTCTACCTACATTCTTACAGTCTTTAACATGTGCACTTAAGTGGTTATGGCTTCACATAAAAAATATCTGCATCAAAAATTGTCTTTTGATTGTTCTAACAAGAAATAATATTTCTTGCAAGTATCATCCACTTAAATCTAATTTCAAAGAATAAGGCAAGTACTTTGAGGTACATAGATGTCTCCCAGTGAGCACTGGCCCTTAGACAAATTTACCAAGCATCTGAGAAAGTCACCTTATTCCCTATGCACTCAATGCTTTTTCATCTGCTTGTATTGTAAATGTATTTATAATGTAAAACGTATTTCCACTATTGCATCATTATATTCTTTTATTTAAACTCTTTAGTACTTTTTATGCAAAGTCAGCCACTACAAGTGAGCCTATACCAAAGGAATCAAAGTCAGCCACTACAAGTGAGCCTATACCAAAGGAATTTTAATCTAGCTTGTTGCATAAATACTATAATCACTTTATCTAACATCTTTCATATTCAAATTGAAAACTAAGTCAAACATTTTTCTGAAACATTTTTCTTGAGCACTTAAGTATTGGAACAAACTACTAATAGCAATAGTGAATATGCTGTCTCTCAGTAACTCCAGATAAAGACTAGATGCCTTAGCCAAAGCTCTGGGCTAAATAAAGAATTATCACAGTGGAATTCAAGAGCTTATAACTAAAGAAAGTCAGATTTGTTGGTCCTTTTGGATGGTCAAATCCTTCAGGCCCTTTTGTCCTAAAGGCTAAGGGACTATCTGTAAAATACATAACAGAGCCTCCTACGACTTAATTTTCTCAAGTGCTAATCAGTTGGATTAAACAGAGAACGTGATTTCTCACCACTCACTCAATGAGGGTTTAAAGTCCTGCTATTTTATGGGGCCTCTGCCTCCCTGCACAAATGCATAATCATGTTCAAAACTGTATCAATGTAGACACAAGTTATCTTAGTTTTTTTAAACCTAATTGTTTGACTTTGCAACTTCTACCGTCTTTAACATGAGTTACTGTGTTATTCTTTTCTAAAAAACTTAGAAAGAAAAAAACTACAAAATAATTCAGAAAACAATTATTTTTGTGAACTCACACTGCTCCTGTGCTGGCTTGAAGCCACTAGAAAACAATGGGTCCAACATTTACTTTGCTAGATTCTTTACAACAGGGGAATATTGTGCATCTATCAGAAATCATGAGTTATCTCCTTCAGTCGAGTGTGACATGATGCTGACTGCAATACAGGGCACAGCTAAGTCGTATGTCACGTTCATTCCATAAAGAAGTCTGGCAAAACAGAGGAGACTTGCTATAAACCTAAAATCAAAGTCCAAACCTCTACCACCAATTCCCCAGTGAAAGCCATCAATTTACCTGTTTAGTAAGATCTGTAAAGGTCTGGAGTCTTGATTGTCCTAGGCCTTGTTAAATAAGGGTTCTAAAGTGCCCAGAACTAAGACCTGTGAGTAAAACAGTCGAAATTTTACATTTGCAGGTCTTCTGGTTCCTGATTCAGTCCATCTTTCACTAAGACAAGTAGAGGATATAAAGAACATCGCTATAACCTGTTGTCTTACAGTAACTCATTTGCATGCCCATATACAATAATGATCACTCTTTCTGTAGTCACAACAATACCCAGTTCAACTCTGGTCTTAAGAGCAGAAGCAACTCTGATTCAAGGCTAACCTCCAAGTTGGAATTTCTTCTTAACACCTTTAGGTACCCCTTACCATAGCTAAAACTGGCACACAAGGTTGAATGCTCCTGGGGGAGGGAGACAACACACTGTTATTATTACTATTATGTGCATAAGGCAGCAAGCTATAATCCAGCTTTCAAATTGTAACAGACCGTTAAAAAGGTGGGGAAAATATACTAACATCCATCAAAAGAATACATCAAAAATATAAACCAGGAAACTAATTCAAAATAACGCATGGAGTAAAAGTTACCTGTATTGATAACGTTTGGGTGGCAGGAATTAAACATGCGAAAGTAGGAACGTCAGCATTTGTGACATCCCAAAAAGGCTTTTGGGAATGGGCAAACAGCATTGTTTAAACTGGGTACCAATGAACAGAAATATGTCTATAAAATACATTAAAATCAACAGATCTCAAACCTTCATTTCCACAACACAGAAGTAGGTTGCTTTATTGTTTTTAATATGAAGATGAGCCACTGCATGCGTGAGGTAAACATGCCACTATACAAAAACACAAAACCAAGTAGCTGAAGTGTTACTTTGTGTAAAAGAATTGGGATCTTGTGGCAGTGCTGAATCTTAAGCTGGTTAAATTAGCGACAACAGAGAGTCTTTAACTCTCACCAGCATGGGCACATTCAGATACCTATTTGTATCATTATATCAATGTATTTAATGGACTAGTTATGTCCTGAGGAACACAAGATGAATAGAGAAAGCGATAAAGTACCTTCGTTACCTGTCCCACAAAGTCATTCCTGTTACATTATAAAATTGCAACTGTAATTGTAAACTGTAAAATTTCTTGAAGAAAGAAACGACAATTCTAAATACCAAAAAAACCCATCTGAAAAAAATATACACAAAGATAGGAAAACTGTTCTCAGACCTGAGCAATCGATGAAAAAAAGTGTTACACAGTACTCCGATATTTAATGATTTTTCTCAAATAATGAGAAATGCCTGGTTTTCAACGCTTTAAAGTCTGGAATATAAAATGAAGTAAAGGGCTATACCTCAAACTATTTTTAATTAAGTTCCCATATATATTACAAAACAAAAAATTACTTTTATTACTTGCACCGTTTCGT